CCTCCTCCTCCTCCTCCTCCTCCTTCTCACAGTCACCCCCATGTTTAGACTGGATTTGGCATTTTTATCCACCTATCGAGTCCTTCCCAAGGACCTAGGATAGGCAGATGTTGTTGTTTGATGGGGTTAAAAGTAACATCACAGGATATAGCTGATGATAATCATAATAGACTAGTTATTACTTATAGAGAACCAGTTTGGTGTAGTGGTGAAGGCACCAGGCTAGAAACCAGGAGACTGTGAGTTCTAGTCCCGCCTTAGGCACGAAGCCAGCTGGGTGACGCTGGGCCAGTCCCTCTCTCTGAGCCCTAGGAAGAAAGCAATGGCAAGCTACTTCTGAAAATCTTGCCAGGAAAACTGCAGGGACTAGTCCAGACAGTTGCCAGGGGTCAAAACAAAGGCACATACCCCCAAAAAACAGATTAGTTGCAATATTATGGATTAGAATGACCATTTGCATAGCAGAACATCTTGAGTCAGTATTCAGCAGGACATTAAAGAAAGGAGTAAAGGTTGTAACTCTTATTCCCTTAATCTAACTCTCTCTTCCCTGTCACGGAAGGATATTGTGTAAAAAGAACATAAAAGTGACAGCTTAGAAGAAAAACTGTTAAAATTACCAAGGAAGGAAATCAAGTACGCTGTTGGTGTGTTATTTGTTTTATGTATTTATTAATCAAATTTATACAGCTGCCCATCTCCATACAAGATTCTGAACACTCACAAATAATTTTAAAAAAACAGTATAAAAATGATCTGATTCTACATATTTCTATATTCTTATTTTCATAGTGTGGCGGGGTTATCCTTGTATGATCATAATAAGCATTTGTAAGTTGGGAATAATTGTAAAGCCCAGGTATTTAACAAACACCAGGCTTAGAATATTGGAGATATCCACAGTGAACACAGTAAATTATCCTCCTAGCAATTCCCAAGAGCATCTCCTGGAGTCAGAGGTTGAACTGCACTTTCTCCAAAGACCTTGCAAGTCCCTGACCCCTGTTACCAATCTTAGAACAATAATAAAAGACCTGTGCTTGCCCTGTAGGTATTTTTTACATTGTTCTCTTAATTATATGAAAAACGAAACATGTAGGAAAGAAGGGGTATGATTTAGAAAGTTGGAAATGTTCCTTCTAGCTGCCTCAACCGATCTTCTGGGTCTTAAAATCCCAGATTTTCAAGCCAGTGAGGGAATTCTGGAAGGTGTATACCCAGTGCATCAAGAGGTCAGGAAAACATCTAAACCATCTTTTGCAAGCAGCATATTGTTCAACAGGGTGATATATACAAGATATATGAAAATGAGTTTTGTAGGAGAAATCTAAATGTGTTAATTATACTTGTATCTTACTTTTCCTCCAGGGGACAAAGGGCAAGATGCGTGAGATTATCTCATAATATTTCTGAAATAATGCTCTGCGCACCTTTTGATGCTTGTGCAAGAAAGTCTAATTCATCTGCCATGATCACTATCACTGTATGCTACTGTCATTCAGGCAGATGGTAGCACGTGTGTGTGGATTACACATGTTTTTGGAAAGAGTTGTATAGTGCCAGTGGCTAGCTTTATGTGTAGCAGGCAATCTTTCATCCTAAAAAGTGCCACAGGGGATAAAGTGAAAATCTCTTTGCTTGTTGTTGCTTATTTGTGGTCTTTTTGGATTTTGGAGAAGAGTTTAAGATGCAAAATACTTGTGTGAGGCACCGTGATCTGGGGATTCTCTGGGAGCCAGAAAAATGGGGTTTGATAGTTCTGGAACGTGCAAATAGAAATATGAAGCCGGGGCGTAAATTGCACAGTAGATTCAGAATTGGGCAGAAGGTGGATTAGGACTACTGGTAGATTTCTGGTTGATTTGTAGGGTCTCTGACTTCCAGTTGCTTTAACAGTAGCAATTTGGGGCTCTCACTTGGAAATCCAGATCCATAGTAATACAGATGTAAGTTTGTGTTGACGGATGATTCATCCCAGCCGGTGGCTCATAGAACTCAACAGCTGACTACCTCTTACCCACCTCTTACCATTTTGCGATGGGTTTCCGAGAGTAGACCTCAGCCCACTACAAGCCCATGCTAGCCTCAGAAATATAAAATTAAGAATAAGCCTTTCTGTGTAACTTGCTGCAGGCCATATAAATAGCAGTGTTAGTGCAAATCCCTTACGTTTCCTCAAATAGCTAAACCTCCTCAGAAAAGCTTTTGAGAACATTGTTACTTCTACAGTAGGTGCAAATCCAAGGTTGGCTGGTTCGTGGGTCAAAAACCTCAATAACATTGGTTGGTTGGTTGGTTGGTTGGTTGGTTGGTTGGTTGGTTGGTTGGTTGGTTATGTGAAACCCAAGCTCAGCAAATGTCTTGTTTCTTTCAACAGGAATCATATTACCAGCCACGGACCCTTGAAAAACATGCAGATAGCATCCTTGCGCTGGTGAGCGTCTTCTCCATTTGATTTGGGGGAGAGGGAGAAAGAGCACAACAACATCACAGTCTAGGGCAGTGTTTCTCAACCGTGGCAGCTTGAAGATGTGTGGACTTCAACTTCCAGAATTCCCCAGCCAGCCATCTCAACCTTGGCAGCTTGAAGATGTGTGGACTTCAACTCCCAGAATTCCCCAGCCAGCCTTCTCAACCGTGGCAGCTTGAAGAGGTGTGGACTTCAACTCCCAGAATTCCCCAGCCAGCCATCTCAACCTTGGCAGCTTGAAGATGTGTGGACTTCAACTCCCAGAATTCCCCAGCCAGCCATCTCAACCTTGGCAGCT